GTGTGTGGGTGTGTATTTGTGTTATCAGTCGCTTCTCGTTCTATAAAGCTGTACGTTTTCATCAAATAGTTTCATTTATTTAATTAGCCACAGTCTCGTTATTCGTTTCCACGTGATAAATTAATCGACAGATGTTCGTGGGTTTGCTTGACTGCAAAAGGTTTTCTTGCGTCTGGAAAGTTGGAAGTAGTAAATAGAAAACTTGTTAAACAGAAAACTGGTCAAACGGAAAACTCAGTGAAAAACAGGAAACCTCAGAATGTAAATAAAACGCCAATTTAAAAGGTGGTTAGCTAGAATAAAAGGAACATCACAAGTTCGCTGATGAAGTTGACATTATATAATTATGTCTATTTTAACAACTCCATGATTAATTCTACACAACCAGAAATATATGCAGCTAAACCAGTCAGGTTCGGGATAAATAAAATCAATATATGCTCTGGTTAATAACGAGTGCTGTGGAAAAGAAACATTCAAGTTTGCTGGAAAAGTTGACTTGACATAATTGCGACCTTATTAAAAGTTTCATGATTATTTCTACACAACCAGAGTTTTTGTAGATAAAATAGACAAGTTCTAAATACATAAAATCAATATGCTGCGGTAAATAAGGAAATGCGCGTTTTGAAAACGTATTAATAAGGATTTTCCATGCATTTCATACAAAACTATTTAATTTGAAAACTAATAAATTCAATTTAATAATAATATTTTATTAACGGGATAATGATAAGTCGCTGTTAATTCGATAACGCCGAAGAAAATGCAAATGAGAAGGAACAGAATGAGGGAATTGGGTGACAGGAAAAGGAACAACGAAGTAGAGAAGTCAACCATGTATGGCGAAGAAAAAGGAAATGAACAAATAAAGCGCGAACGTTATTTTTCTTAGTCGTTCCCACTTCGTCTGCCACCTCCTTACCGCTTCTCTAAACTTACGCTAGCACGTGAACGTGTGAGATTTGTGTTGCGTGCTCGTGAGAATTTATGTCACTTTGTTCACACCCTGTATTGACATTTATATGCTATCCCACATCTTTAAGAAGTAATGAATTGCCAAGCCTTGGTGTCTTGTCGGGCATCGTGATGCAAAACCTTGAATACCTAGCGTCCTGAATTGTTACTTGTCCTCCGGAGTGCGTGATTCGATCGCTGAGGCATTACATTTGGACAATCACCAAAAAAGAGACGTCGAAATGCAATCATTTTAAAGGTCAGAAGAATAAAGCTGATTGCTACAGATTAGTATAGACAATATATCTTTATTAGGCCTACTTATCGCCGTAGATGTTTTTTTTGGGGGAGGGGGAGGGGATAGTTTCCTTGGCCTATAGTATTTACGCCAGTTAAGATTTAATCGCTAACATTTTCCTCCCCGAGAACATTTCTCTAAATGACTCTTGCTCGCTTGTGTGTATATGCGCGTGCGTGCATGCAATATAATACTTAGTTCCTTATTAATCCAAGGATATCGACACGCACCCACGTTCGTTTCCACTGAGTATTACTTAACGGCAACCTAATAATAATTAGTGATAGATAATGAATTCGTATGATTAATGATTTAATTAAGTAATGAGTAATATAATCGTTATAATGTAGTAATTTCAGTTATTAATTATGTAATTGTTGTAATTAATGTAGTAATATAATCGTTATAAGGTAGTAATTTCGCGAGACTGACGGGTGAACAAACGAATCATCGCTAACGCTAAAGTTTTATTAAGGTTAGTTACAATATATTTTACATCAACAGAAAAGATTAATGCCAACACTATATGCACGCCATACGTTGTCACGCGATGTAAATGTACCTATATATATATGTGTATATATGTATATATTTATATATGTGTATATATATATATATATGAGGAGATACTTTCGCTAGGTAAGTTTTTGTAGTACATTCCGTCACAACAGTTGAGCGCGGGTTCTGTGGCATTACGTCACAACTAGTACGGCGTGTAGTGGCATTACGCTCACAAGCAGTACGGCGTGTAGTGGTGCATTCGTCAGCGGGTGGCCTGGATCGACATAAGCCACGGGTGCAACAACGGTGCGTGTGGTACATGCATGCGTGTGAGAGGCGAGGCGGCGCGCGGCGGCGTCGGCGGGCGCGGCGGCGAGCAGCGGGCCGGGTGCGATCGTACGGGCGCACACGTCACTATAACTCACTGTTTTCACACTGGACCGTACGTCGCGCAGCAGCAGCAGCCTTGGCAGGCGCAAAGCGCTGAGCATTTCTCGCCACGTGCGACGGCGCATTATAGGATCCGCTATCGATCAGCGTCTCTGAGGAAATATTGGAATAACACATTTGCTGTTATGATTGCCGTCGGCTGTCTCGTCTGTCTCTCTCACACACAGTGTCGCGATGAGTGTCTAGCATATAATTCGTGTCAAGGCCACCCGCAATGCAATAGTTACGTGGCCGTAGTGCTGTCCGCATCCTACCCGCATACTGAGCACATGATCCCTTACTCTACTCTTACACTCAGCTTCGTATACATATATATATATATAAACAATTTACACATATATATATATATACAT